AGAACCGCAAGAGCAAGTTTGAAGATAGATAGGATTTTGTAATGCATAGATCATAGTCTAGTCTAGCTTCGTTTTATTTTATCATGGTGTATTAAGGGGATGTAGTAAGCAGTAGCAGCAGCAGCAGCAACAGTAAAACCACAGTTTCATGGTAGTCCCAGCTACCAAACCTTCCCAAACTACACTGACCTGATTCCTTTTCAGCCAAGGATATGTAGGCAACCTCAGAAGTAGGGTGCGGTCAACTCTTTCAAAAAATGCTTCCAACAGAGTATTCAAATGGGCAAAAATCGCTCGTATCCGCTCACTTTATCTTTGCACGAAAACTCTTCGTGTTTCTGGGCAAAGAGGGGAAGCTGTGAGCACGTGATTTTTGCCCTATATGAATTACTCCCACAAATTCAAAACAAAATAATTTTTTTTCCATTCTTTGCAATTTCGTAAATTTTTGTGGCATCTTCTGTTATTGTTTGCATATTGTCTGTGCATGTTTATTTTAATTCATGAAAAATACAATAAATATGTTGCATTTGCATTTGGGACTTAATTTTACATTTGTTAGGTTAATTAGCAAATTAGTTGTCCTATAGAAATGGAAAAATCACAAAAATAGTTTATTTTTGTACTTTTTAATTTTTAATTTCAATTTTGAATTTTGGCAGTTTTCCCTTCAATTTGGATCTTAATTAATTGTGATAATTATTATTTAGGTTTAACTAGTGTTTTGATAGGCTAATTTGGTTTTAGGATTTAACTTAGATTTTTAATTTAATTTTGAAAAAAAGAGAGAAGGAAAGGAATTTTGAAATAGGAAATGAAAAGAAAAGAAAATAAAAGGGTTTTGAATCAGATTTTTTGGGCCTTACTTTATTCCCAATCTCCAAGCCCAGACCAAACACCCCTGAACCCGCCCCAGTCCAAGCCAGCCTGACCAAATGACGTAGTATGGGGGTGGGGCTGTGACTTTTTGAGTTTCATAGGTTTTGATTAGATCCTGGACGTTCATTTTGTTCCATCTAACGGCCCAGAATATTTCTCCAATATTGTTTAAAACTGTCCGAATACCTTAAAGACCAATTCAGTTCACCTGTTTCATCTCCTCCATCTCAGAACCCTAGAAACGCCGCCAGTATTCCCCACCTCGAGCCCGGCGGCGCCTCTACCAAACGACCCCAAATCCATACACCAGAACCCCCTCACTCCCCTCGTTCCAAATCCCCACTCCATTCCCCTCAAATACTGTCGAAGCGTCTCGAATCTTGAATCTGAAAATCGAATCCTAGAAGCCAAATCCCAAACCTGTGCATGCAGGATTATTGCCCCATTCCTCTGAGTTCTTTGGGTTGGTTTTGTCTCGTAATAACGTTGTTCGCTTATTCTTGACAAAGAACAAACGATTGACGTTATTTGGGGACGAAATCAGAAGGTCGAGTCCCGGTTTCGAGCTTTTAGTCGGTAAGTTCTCCTTTCCTTTTTTGTTCATGTTTGGTGTCATTTTAATCTCCGTTCCTCCTCATCTCTCCTTCGTTTTCTTTTCTTTTCTTTATCTGGTCACTTCAACTGAAGTTTGACCAAATTTTCTGGTTAAAGGGTAAATTATGCGCTTTTATTCCTCGTTTGCTTTATTGTCCCAAATTCGCTTCTCTGATTTCTGTAGTTTGTTAAGTGCGACTTAATTTTTGGTTTTTATTCTGTTCAATCACCTAGTTTAATTAAATTAGGCCCATAACCTGGTTATTTTCCTTTTATGTAGCTAGGGTAATTGGTTCATTCACGTTTGTCTTGGTTTGGGCTGCATTTTTCGGGTTTCTTTCTTTTGGGAAGACTGGGTCAATTTCTTTAAATGTTGAATCTGTGGTTAACTTAATTTGGGCTAGGAAAGAATCAAAAGTCCAAGAGGGGAATTAATGGGAATCTACAGACCTCTGGGGCTTGGAACTGGGTAAATTTGACTCATATATTGGTCTGTTTTTTTTAGAAGTAAATAACAAAAAATTTAATGGGTAATGTAGGAAAATTGGTATAGGGAATCTCATTGTAACAGAACAGGAAGCTTCTAGGAAGCTGGGGAGGGAGCTGTTTTGAAACTCTGATATTTGAACTAAGGAAAGTTAAGCAAAAACAAAAATTGGCTAAGGATCTCTAAGCTAAAACAAAAATGTTGAGAGGTGCAAAGGGCAAAATTTGAGATTTGTATTTGTTGCCCTAACACCCCTCTATAAAAGGATCATTTGCTGAAATTTTGGAGGAGGAGATCTTTTTAAAAAAAATCAGATACAGCTAGAAATACTGAAAAATTATTGTTCCATCGAGATCTTCTACAATTCTTGAAGTTTTTTTTGGTTTCTGAAGTATATTCTGATTCATCTGGGTTTGAAAGTGGTTTGAATTAGGGGATGTGGCTTGTTTCTGTTGCTATTGGTCTATTACTGCTGCTTTCTCTTAGTTTCAAGCTAATTGTTGGTCTATTTTGTTGTTATTCAGGTACACATTTCTACATTCCACCTAATGTAAAGCTTGATTTGGAATCGAAATGGAAATTTGGAGCTTTGAGTTGTATTCACAATTAGTTGTGTTCATATTTTAGTTTACTTGTCTACTTTTTTATTTAGAGAATTTCGCTTATTGCCTTTCAAACTCTGAATATGTGATCAGAGACTGAGCTTCTGAATATCATATGACCTGGTAGTTTGGTTTGGTGTCCATCTTAGTCTAATTCTTTAAATGTAGTCATTTACATTACTTATTCGTTTTAAGGTCAGAATTTGGACTTGTTTAAATGCAGTCAATTCGAGATTTTTTTTAGACTTTTAAATGTGTACTAAGTAAGGATTTTAAGGTTACTGTAGTATGGATTTGAATCTTGTATGCAAGTTGAATTGACGGTTCAATGCCATAGCTTCTGAGTTTGATTTGTGCGATAAGCCTCGATGTTAGGAAATATCTGCTTTCCTATAGCAGGGATCTAGGTTTGCTTCGTTATTTTTCTTTAGATCTAGTTTAAATTGGTTTCATGTTTAGCTTAGTTTTTTCTTTCAGAATCTGAGTCTTGTATTATAATCTTCTATTGCATTGTCTTTTAGAATTCAAGTGAGGCATTTTTGTTCTTGAAGAACTATGATTCAAACAATGAATCTACGGTTCAACAAGTCACAAAATTGCTAAATTATGTGGGGTTTTCATTGTCATTGGCAAGATCACAATCAGGATTCGAACTTCATGTAATATGTTGATGATTTAGCTGTGAATTCTTATTATTATTCAATATTCAGTTTTTTTAGAAAATAACGATCACTTGGGCGTATTGCATCTTTGGTTTATACGCATACCGGTCAGTCATGTGTTGGCCAGGGCCAGTAGGCCCAGCTGACTTTTGGGCCTGGTATTGGAGGCCTCGTTGGAAATAAGGAGTGGTCTCGCTGCTGTCGTTTGTCCTGGGCCTCGTCTTGAGCCTAAAAGTTTTATTGTTGCTGATGTTAACTAATAGGGTGGTCCGGCTTCTGAAAATCTAACGCCCCTCCCCCTTTCCCTAATAGTTGCATACCTTGGCCTTATATCGTGTTAGTTCAATTATTTGTGGTAATTAATTTGAGACGTGCCATATTAGACAAACATACAATTCATAGCCCTCGTAAGTTAGTTTAGAAACTTTGTAATTAGAATAAATCGAGGCGTGCCATTTAGCAAATTTCCATGGCCCTCGCAAAAGTTAAAAGCGAGTTAGACGCTTTAGGCGCTTATTTTAATAATAATATTACCTTCCTAAACTCGGGTGCGCATTTCATGTGACCCAAATCAAATCTTAAAACGTTGAATAAAATATGTTTAGGATTGCGGGTGCATTTCATGTGGCGCGATCCAAAGACGTGTTTTAAACGACGTTTAATCTTCTCTAAAAATTGATTAAAGCGGTTAATAAGTTAAAATTTGCACATAGGTTCATAATCGTTTAAAATCAGATAATTAAGCCGAATATAACAGTTGAGCGACCGTGCTAGAACCACGGAACTCGGGAATGCCTAACACCTTCTCCCGGGTTAACATAATTCCTTACTCGAATTTCTAGTTCGCGCACTGTTAAACAGAGTCAATCCTTTCCTCGATTCGGGATTTGAACCGGTGACTTGGGATACCATAAATCTCCCAAGTGGCGACTCTGAATCTTTAAATAATTAATCCCGTTTCGATTGTTACTTTAATTGGAAAAACTCCTCATATACTACCTTTCTGGGTGTAATAAAAAGGAAGTGTGACACTTTGCATCAACCAATGAGAGAGAAAACCACTTGTCCAAATCCAATCTCCCTTTAGATATAGACATATGATGCTTATGCAAAAAAAAAAAAAATGATGTAAATATGTGTGATTTCTTATGCGAGGTTTTAGGATTAAGCAAAGGCTAAATCCTTTTCTATCTTCTAAAAGCTATTAATTGATAATCCTAGGTTTGCGTAATGATATTTTTTATTTGTAGTCAATGATTACTTGAAAGAAGGGCCTTGAATAAAATTTACATCACAAAAAGAAGAGTAGGTAGAACACTTTTTTCTTTGTTCAAATTAAAAAGGGGGAAAGAAAAAAGAATGAATATACTCCTCAAAGCTTTTCTGGACTAAAGAAAACCCAGTAATTAGAGGTGAGAGGTTGAAGAATATCGTTGGGTCGTCAGCGTGCAATTATTTTTGAACATAAATAAGGGGGAAGCTAGACAAGTGGTGCAGTTGCATCTATAATTTAGCGAACTAATACAAATTGTTTGCCATTGGGCTTTCATTCAAAGTCTCAGGGAACACTTCGGAATCAATAACCCTGTAAATTAGGCTTGAATCCAACATTTGAACCTTAAGTTAAACCCTTTATGGGTCAGGTGGGCAAGCGGGACATGCATTTAATTAAAAGATTGAAAAGTAGTTAGTTGTTGCACTTCTCGTTCATTGGTTCGTGGTCTTTTATATCTCAATTCATCTGCTTCAAGAATTCTTGCCTGCATTCATCTTGTCATCATGATACCAGTACTCAATCGTGTTGACCTTGGGTTGAAGACTATATCAAGGCCTAAAGTTAGTGGGCTGAATCACATAACAATCCCTCGTCCGAATGGCTCAGGTAAATGAATTTGGTATTTAGGCTGAATATTGAAAAGGAATTTTGAAATATATCCTCTAGCTTTGATTATAAAGTTTTAAATACATATTTGAATCAGCAATTCTACTCTCTTTTTGGATATGCAAACTACCAACACTTATATTTTCTTTGTGTGGAATATTTCAGAGAAAGCAAGCTGAAAAGATGGCCAAAGTTGGTCGTGTTGACAAGGAGAGTTCAGTCCTAGCCCCATACCTTACTGTACTCCTTCACATCAATCTGTCAATGGTTTTTTTTTTCTTTCCCGTAGAATGCTGTTGAATTTATTTATTACCATTTTGCTTTCTTTAGATTGTAGGTTTTGCGTTTGCCTATGAATATTATCAACGTATAGAGCATCACAAGGACGTGATGGCCATACTGGCAGGATGTCAAGGTAAAGCAAGAACTCTATCTCTTATGCTTCATCAGAAATAGATCATGTTGGAAGGCACATGTTACTTTGATCTCTTAATTTTCATAATTGTTGCAGGGAAAGGAAGAAAATGATGTTCGATTCAAGTGGTACTGGCCATCGTTTCAGGGGCGGAGCCATGCACCTAAAAAACACGCCCAAATTGATGCCAACTTGAAGCAACGAATCATAGAATCTCTAACTTTCGAAGTGATTAATATATGCATTACTGTACGTTGGATCATGCTGAATTAAGTTATTCTAATGAAAAATTAATTAATACATGTTATTTTTAAATTTCTCATCAGTTGAGCAACTTCACTTCTTGATTTTCTTCTTTAAGTCATGTTTTTTGTTCTTTCTTCTTTTTGTGTTTTTCTTTGTGTCAACTTGTTCTTGCTATCTTTTAGCAGTATCATTTGCATAACTCGTTTTTCAATGGTACACTTTCCAAAATCCCAATCTTTAGAGCTAGATTATTAATTCAATTTTCCTTTTGTCCTTGATGTTAGAATATACTATCATATTCGTAATGAAACCTCTGGTTTTCATTTAATTTTTGAGATTGTATAACGATGACGGCATCTATACTAACGAACACCTCCCCCTAGTACTAGTAAGGTACTACTATTTTAACAATTCTAAACCTTACAAGTCAATTCTAACACACCTCCCCCTAGTAAGTTACTACTATTATAACTTTTTTAACCTTATGGAATCTTTGTTGTTTCTTGTACTCTGAACTCTAATTAGAATAACCATATTTTGCCATTTCTAAATTCATTCTTTTTAAATAACATTCATTTTGATGTTCATAAGTAATTTGTGATCACCGAGGACGTTAATCGCATGATTTTATTCGTTGCTAGAAAACCACACATGCCGATGTGGGTCGTAAATGGACACATAATTGATATAGACTACAAATCTAGATGGCCACCCTGTTGGAGTCCGTAACCTAAATGTTGTATTTTTGGACTCAAAATATATAAATAGATGGGAAAAAAATTAGTGACCAAAATATGTAAAATGCAGTTTTGAACCACGTTTTACCTTAACGTATGTTTGGGACGTTATGGTAAAACGCGTTTCAATACTGCGTTTTAATAAAACGTTTTTTGTAATCGTGTTTTACTTGGAAGCTGATAAGACGGCTATGTAAAGCGCGGTTTATAAAAGCGCTATATGTAAAGCGCTTTTATAAACCACGCTTTACATATATAAGTACTCGTCCCTTTCCCTTTTCCCCCGCGTTCTGGACAGAAATACAAAGAGTCCCCCCTCCATTTAACTCGATAAAAAACTCGAGTGGATCCCACCCGTCCCACAAAAACTAATCAAAGCTGGTCCCACATCCTAGCCAAGCCTTCTATTGTTGGGGGTTGCTTGTTTCGGAGTCAAATTTTTAATTCTTCAACTTTTCGAAAAACATAAATCGAGGTATTCCAATTTAGTTTATGTCGAAACTCGTATAAATAATGCATATTAGTTATTTTGAATGTGTTCCATGTTGTTTTGTATTTTTGTTTTGCAATTAAATTGGTACGTTATTTTTATCCGGACTAAGATATTAATGTTCTAAAAAAATATGTAAAAATTGCGAAATCATTATTATTTATTAATAAAAATGTTAATAAATTACTATTACTGTTTTATATGTATTTTTATGAATGATTTGTGATTAAAATGTATTTGTTAATTTTTATCTGGTTTATATTATTTATTTGCTTAAAGACTAGTAATATAGTGCCATTTTAGGGTAGTAAAATGTAATGCCTTTTAGCGTAGTAAAATATAGTGCCTTTTAGCCTAGTATAATGTAGTGCCTTTTAGCGTAGTTTGCCTGTAGTTTACGTATCTCTTATACTAAAAAATACGTCAAAATAACTGATAGATCAAACACAAACTCCGTCCAATTATAGTCAACATATATTTGGTGCTACTAGGCCGCAAATATCGAGTCTGGAACCCATATGTGAATATTTAATAATTAAATATTATATAAGTATAAAAATTACTTATTTAATTTGCAAACAAACATATAAAATTATAAAACTAACATGTAAAATAATAAAACTAACACATAGAAGAATTCAGGAAAAATTAGTGCTACTGGGCCGCAAATATCGAGCCTGGAACCTATATGTGAATATCTAATTATAAAAATTAATTATTTAATTTACAAACAAACATATAAAATTATAAAACTAACATGTAAAATGATAAAACTAACACAGAGAAGAATTCAGGATAAATTGGTGCTACTGGGCCGCAAATATCGAGCCCGGAACCCATATGTGAATATTTAATTATAAAAATTAATTATTTAATTTACAAACAAACATATAAAATTATAAAACTAACACATAGAAGAATTCAGGATATCTTGGTGCTACTGGACTGCAAATATCGAACCTGGAATAGATGTGTGAATATTGTATAATTATTAAAATTAATTATTTAATTTACAAACAAACATATAAAATTATAAAACTAACATGTAATTAATGTTGTTTAATTTACAGTAGACGACATGGAGGTGTCGCCTATTCATCCCGGACCTTCCAGCGATGAGCTACTATCGTTACAGGGCGATCATAGGTCCGCCCACGTAAGGGAGGGAGAGTTACTTACCCAGGCTCCCCGCGTCGGGAGAGTGGACGACATGTGGGACCTTCTGCATGAGAGAGTTCTCCATCCCCGTGTAGTCACACGCCTGCGGGAGACGAGTTTCTACAGGATTTTGGAGATCGAGCAGCTGCAGCTCGATTGGTCTTTGGTCACGTCCCTGATAGAGCGATGGCGATCGGAGACGCACACATTTCACCTGCCCATTGGCGAGGTCACCATCATACTACAGGATGTGAAGATTTTGTATGGGCTGCCCGTTGACGGAGTCCATGTTGCTCTGCCGCATGGCATGAGAGGCATGACACGTGTGCAGTACCTGGACATGCTATAACGGCTCACTGCTTTCCGGCCAGAGGATGAGAATGTACTGGCTGGGACCAGTCGTTTTCCGTTGATGACTATTCAACAGTATTTGGAGGCGTTGCATCCTGACATCGATGACGATATACTGGATTATCATGTTCACCGGTATACGAGGTTGCTGTTACTCCTTATATTTGGAGGGGTCTTGTTCCCGAACACTTCGGGGAACTTAGTCAGGTTGAGATTTCATTATCATCTTGAGTAGCTAGATGACTTACCCCATTACAGCTGGGGTGTTGTTGTTCTTCGCTAATTGTACAGGCAGATGTGCCGGGCGAGCATGGGAATCCAACGTGACGTTGTTGGATTTTTACCGCTACTACAGGTGACAACATATTCGAATACTCTATTCATTTTAACATACCTAGTAAAAATATATCTTAAATTTTATGTCAACTTTTTATATTAGGTTTGGGATTGGAGCGGTTCTTGCAGTTGCAGCCACCTCTACCACCGTTAGCTCTGGATGTACCACCTTCGTTTCTCCCTCTAGCTAGGAGATGGGTTCTCCGACGGGGATATACGTGTGAGTATGGGGCTCAGCATAATCTATCCTTGTGCAGGGATATCTTGGATTTGCTGGAGGGCGAACAGGTAAATGTATATCTAAGTTTACTTGTCATAGCTTTCACATGTGTTGCGCATACTCACGTTTTCTGTTGTTACTTAATAATTCATCTGGATGCCATACAGCAATGCATTGATAGCTGACTTGCCTGATTATTGCTCGGCCGGCCGACTTATGTGGGGCTCTTCCGTACCGTTGATCTGCCTTGATTTTGTGGAGCATCATGCCACCGAGCGAGTACTTCGCCAGTTTGGCCGTCTGCAGCTCGTACCGACACCACCTACCTGGCAGACCACACACTACCAGCGGAATGATTGTTCTAGGATGGACGATGCATATTTGGCATGGCTAGAGGAGTATATCAATACTTGGGACCGACGATCTGACCTGATTCCGCCCCCTCCTTCACCGAGTCGGCCGGATACTGAGCATGATTATATGGGTTGGTACTGCAGTGTTACCCGACTTTTCGTCGGGAATCCCATTCATGAGCTGGTGGTCGGTACGTTCCATACGTTTGGAGGCACGAGGCACTGGTATGTTATTTGGTATTCTTACTTGTAACCGTGACCTAGCGTTTCGTAACTTATATTTTACATGTTGTGCAGGCTATTAGCCTACATTTATTCCACCAGTTAGGACTGCAGATGCAGAAACATGCCGGCGAGGGAGTGGCCATTTTGCACGAGTATGGCCGGCAGGTACATAGCTGGTTGCCCGGACACTGCATCGAGTCAGAGAGGATGAGCGCTTAGTGCACATCCTTACTTATGTGGCGCCAGAGCACTACCATCGAGGTAGGCCTGTCCCACGAGCGAGGGGAGCACAAGGCAGGGCTGTCCCACGACGCAGGGCTGTCCCATGGGGTCGTGTGGGCCGGCGAGGAGGTGGTCCCCAGCAAGGGGGCGTTGAGGCACCTGTTGACGCACCTATTGAGGATGTTGGAGCTGATTTGTCGGGTGACCTCCATCAGCTAGATGAGGAAGATGGAGCTGACTACCGTCATTCAGCCTTCAGTTGTCGTTCACTCCAGCAATATCGCAGGTGACCCCGTCAGATCCATTGTTGATCACGGGCACGAGCATTGTCGGAGTTGATTGGGAGCAGTAATCTTCAGGCCCATCGACCGCTGCTGAGGATCGGCCGACCTGAGATATAGATGGTGTGCGCTGGCTGAGTTATGGCTCATCGTCGACGGGTGTTGGGGATCTTTCACAGGCGCAGATATGTTTGTATTACTATTAAATTTACATTTGTTTTTATCTCATTGATTCGCCATAAGTAATTTTATAATTTTTTTTATTAAGGCTTCATCTGCTCTTATCATGGAGGTCACTTTGTGTGATGTTGACCAGGATGCGACGGATTTATATTCAGGATCCCGACGAGACAATGGTAAGTCAATTTAATTTTTTTTACTTAACACGTACATTACTAATATATATTTTTATATAATGAGCTGACTTATTCTTCTGTAGGTTGCTGATGAACCAACAATCCCTTCTACCGATCCTGCCAGCACTACTAACGATCATGCTGCAGCATCCTCCGATAAAGAGGCAACGTGATGAGGATGATCCTAATAGCATATCCAGGCGGGATGGGATGCGCCTCAGGCCAGCGGTTGCATTGAAGCATACAGGCTGT